AGAATCAATTACTTTTATTATATTTCAATATGGGCTCCTTGACATTCTATAACGTTCATGAGACTTAGCCATTAATTTTGTTTAATCTCTCTACTGCTTCAACTTTAACATTATTTCCAGCCTTTGTTATTTTCCCATAGAGATCTTTGGATATTAACTATGAATTTTAATTACAAAGTACTATTTTTGTTTACTTATTTACATATGGGTAAAAAATCAGCATGCCAAATAAATTAAGTCCTTTTTTGTACAATGCACAGAAAATAACGTAAGCTTTGAAGGAGAAAATTCATTGATAATTTTTCCCAAAATATTTTTCAAGAACGGTGACCCCTAGAATATACATGTTTATTTTTTCTTTATTCAAAAATTGCATTTTAGTAAATCCAGCGTCTCTTCCGCTGTTGAAAACAACCTGGAAATCATATTTTTGATCGACAACATCTGTCTCCTTAATCTTGTCCATGGTCTCTTTCGATAGTAATCTAAAATTTAGAAAAACCTTGAAGTCAGATGGAGTCAAATCTCAATTGTAATTCTGTATAGGGTGATTGCTCTGTTTCGCAAACATGAAACAGGCATGAAACATGAGAAATTTTAAATGGCTGGTCATTTTTCGGACAGTCCGTGGAATCCCCAAATTATTATCTCATTCTTACACTGTCCGTCGCAGATTTCGATTGCAGCCTGAACACGTTCAGCATTTCAGGTGTTCTGCTCGTTGTAAGTCTTCGTGAACATAGATCGAGTGCTCGGTCAAGTTTGAAATGTAGGTACCAAAGTTAAATCTGCGCGTCGTTCATTAAGTCATCTCTTAAAAACATTCTAATCATGCGAATAGTTTATGCGGACGAAGCATAATGCATATTCGTTGTAAATGCTGTGGTCACACAATACACAAGCTCATTCAAAGGTTTTCACTACCGATTTAATAACCCCATAGGAGAGTATCTGTTCATCCATGCACATTAAAGTCCGCTCTGATTGTTAACCAAGATACATCAAGTCAGCGTGGTTGCTTTTAGAGATATTCATATATATATATATATATATATATATATATATATATATATATATATATATATATATATATATATATATATATATGTGTGTGTGTGTGTGTGTGTGTGTGCGCGCGTGTATATGCATTTGCATGGTTAAATATATATGCATATAATTCAAGATATGTACAGTCATATCACTAAATAAATCATTTCTTACAGAAAGATAATTTCTGTCTAAATTTCAGGTGTATATCGATCTACAGGGAATTTCGAACTTTTTAAATTGATGACATACTGATTGTAATTTCAATCCCTGGATCGGGCAGTGAGTACTTGGACACAGACGATCATTAACTGAACAATACTAAATAAAAATAGGAACTAGATATCTCCACTCATAACTTAGAGACGGGCAGTGGAACGAGAACAGTCTACTCCGTACATTGAATAAAGGGTTCAGGTCAGAATTGCCTGTAGATAGTTATACATCTGAGGAAGGCACGAAAATATAATGGCCAAAACATTTTCATACAAACATACACATACACACACACAAACGTGTAAGGACTCACATACACGGGCGCGCACACTCACATATATATATACCCATATAAAACCATATACATGAAAATGTTTAAACAAACACAGCCATGTAACGAAAGAAATGAGAATAAGAAAAGGAAACGGACAATATCGTAAATTAGATATACAATATGAACTTTACCAATTACATAGACACACATACGTGCATATATATAAGTGTGCGCGCGTGTGTGTGTATTTAAATATGAACAAACAGAAATACTCGATTATTTTTAAATAATATATAATTAGCTTTGACACACACACACAAGCACACACACACACTTATATATGTGTATGCGTGCGTGTGCATGTGTGTGTGTATGTGTGTGTATGTAAAATAAATAGACAGGTTAGGGGGAATGGAAGTTAAGAAAACAATCTCGTTGGAGACTTATAAGTATTTATAGAATGAAATAAAGATGAGGTAAAAACAGAGCCAATTCTTAAAATAAAAGTGAAATTCAGCAATAAAATGAAAAAGGACATTTTGAGAAATTTGAATACGTACTTTTTAAAAATTAAAAACAACAAGGTAATAATTGAATTTTCAGTTAGGAATTTAATCTTTTCCTCTTTTGAAATGAAAAAAAAAGTCTTTTATGACAGATTATATTCGTCATAGATTGAAAAGGCAACGTGGCTTGTTCTTCATTTTCGAAGTTAAACCGAAAGAAATGCCTGCTTTGTAAATGCGATTGTGTTTTGGGGCCTGATACTCATGACTGTGAACTATACATACATACATACACACACACACAAAGATATATATATATATATATATATATATATATATATATATGCATGTATGTGTGTGTGTGCCAGCACGTACATCCATATTAGGCCGATAATCGCAGTCACCAACTGATCCACAATGTAAAGCAAAGTTGAATTTGGTTATTTCTGAAAGAGTCACTAATTCATAATGAACGCTGGTATTAGACGTGAAGACGTAGCTACACACACACGCACCCCCCACACGTACGTATGTATGTATGTGTATGTGTTATACACTACGCCATATTTTATTATACAAGTCAATGTTTTCAATAAAATTAACACAAACCACCCAATAGATATATATGTATATTTATATAATTCTTAGCTCATAATATCTATCCTTATTAAAAATATTGTAATTGAATTTGAACGTAAATTTTTATTTATAAATAAATCAAAGAGTGACAGACCATAAAAAACACATATTTGATTAACACATTATCTAATATATTCGGATAAAAAATAATAATAATGTGTGTTTCATGACATTAAATAATTAAATAGTTCATCAAATTTTTATCAGTTGATTTTGATAACTTTTGTTTCAACTTTAACATTAATTACAACAGATTTGATTGCGCTTTCAATAGAGATTTTATTTACTTTATTATTGTTGTTGTTTTCCTTTTTTATACATCTTTTTTTAATGATAGGCAAAAAGTATTTTCTTGGATTATTATCTTGAGAGGTTAGGGCCATATATATATATATATATATATATATATATATATATATATATATATATATAAAAGTTTATGCAGATATACTATTGTTGGCCAATCCACTTTTTTTTATCTTCCCAATATTTTTACTTTCTTTTTTGATTGCTCTGCCATCTTTGGTTTATTTGATTGTTCTGTCATCTTTGGTCAACATTTTTCCGACGTTGTCTTTTCAATCTTTCAATAACTTTACAATATATTCTTTATCTCTTTCGTTGTTATATTTTTCTTACAAGCTATGGACATTTTTATATATTTGAAATTAAATTGAAAAATGAATGTCAGTAATTATAGCAGTAAACATATTTATTGAAAATACGATAAACGACTCTTCTTTAAAAACTCATATACCATATATTTTATTGTAAAATTCCTAAATCTGCTTATAAAGATATAAGCAGATATTCACATGGTATATTTATCTTATAGATATATCCTGAAAATGTTACCAACATCAGTTTTATTGCAAAGACATTGATTTGCATAATAAAAATTGATACATTGGAATCCATAAATTTTATATGTTTATATACAAATACAGTCAAGTATTGTTCTATATAAGCTTATCAAATAATTTGATTGATAAACATTTTCTATCTTTTGTGGTGGTACCTTCATTAAATGTATGAATCTAAACATTCATTTAAGGACACAATGAGTTTTGATCCTGAGTAGGACAGAAAAAATTCACTGATAGAGGAAATTATAGGTATTTACATTTTCGGGAATATTTGCAGCTATATTTTTGCAGCTATATTTCTTGCATATTTATTGAATACACCTGAATAAAAAGGCTAAACCAGTACTAGACACAGGTCTACTAGATGAGAAATATATGACCTATTTCAAAATCTGCATAAAGTATCCAAATATCACGTGCCCTTCCCATATTTTAGGTCGCATATTGATTACTCCACTTTAACCATTTTAACGTCTATTATTACTTAACGAGTTACCCGTCGTTCCTCTTTTAAACTTTAAGTTTGCCTTTTTTTTCTTCTTTTACATTAGCCCCCTACCTACACTCTACATTCTGTATTTATACCCCAATAATATATTAAGTTTATATTAAATTTGAGCTTTGAATCTGATTTTAATTTAGCATTCCTTCCATGAGACCCAGAATTTAAAAAAAAAATCAAAATAATTCGTGCCTGAAGATAGGCATATATATATATATATATATATATATATATATATATATATATATATATATATATGCCTATCATGCTTCTCTCTATATTCTGATCTAATCATAATATTATGATTAGGTGATAGAAATCTTTTGTAATTTTTTTGCTTCTTTCGCACACAGACACACGGAAATAATTTTGGCAGTCACTATTTTGTGGTGGTAGCGCCATAGGCAAAGCTATTTTTCAATGGATGCCCCACTATATTGGCCGTGTGGCAAAGCTGGCTTATCTATCTAAATACAGAGTTAAATAGTTAGGAGAAGAATGAAAGATATTATCTGTATGCCAATCTAATCTTTATATATTCACCACTATCACTTATCGTCACCATCGTTATGACTTGTGCATGTCACCGTATTCATTGTAAGCATCATTCTGTTCCCCACCAGATTCATCTTAAAACAACAGCAAAGGCGACGCCAAAGTCGTTCGTGGCGATACACTTGGTGTTCGTAGTATGATGATGCCGATATGATTTATGATGTCTTCCTAAGCCAATGCAAGTAGTTGGGGGTCCTTTCTCATTCGGACACGGATAATTGGAGGCATCTGGTCCAAGCCTTTAAATTCGCTCGATTGCCACAAAGCGCTGCTTTACGACTTGCCAAGCGATCCGCACCCATGTCGGTCGGGACGCAGGCTGTTGGCAGTTTTTAATGGAAAACTTACACATACTGCAAATTTATTTCAAGGGGACGAGCAGGTTTTATGGTCATTCATGGAAACACCTTATCGTGATTTGGGAGAGGCGTTAGGGTGGGTAGTATGACACTGGGAATCATGCGATCAGGATGTAAGGGCAAGAGGAAGGAAAGAGGGAGACTCGTTCGGAGAAAAAAAGGCAAGGAAAGATGGAAGAGTAAGAAAAGAAAGAATGCGTGTATACACGAGTATAAGAAATAATGAATGTAAGACATTTTGAAAACGAAATGTAAAAAAGAAATAATATTGATTGTGCAAGAGAGAGAGAGAGAGAACAAATATGCATTATGGGTAAAGGAAAAGAAGAGAAAGAAAGGAAATAAAAGAAAGAAGGAAAAGAAGAGAAAGAAGGGAAATAAAAGAAAGAAGGAAAAGAAGGGAAATAAAAGAAAGAAGGAAAAGAAGAGAAAGAAAGGAAATAAAAGAAAGAAGGAAAAGAAGGGAAATAAAAGAAAGAAGGAAAAGAAGAGAAAAAAAGGAAATAAAAGAAAGAAGGAAAAGAAGAGAAAGAAAGGAAATAAAAGAAAGAAGGAAAAGAAGAGAAAGAAGGGAAATAAAAGAAATAAGGAAAAGAAGAGAAAGAAAGGAAATAAAAGAAAGAAGGAAAAGAAGGGAAATAAAAGAAAGAAGGAAAAGAAGAGAAAGAAAGGAAATAAAAGAAAGAAGGAAAAGAAGGAAATAAAAAGAAAAAAGAAAAAAGAAGAGAAAGAAAGGAAATAAAAGAAAGAAGGAAAAGAAGGGAAATAAAAGAAAGAAGGAAAAGAAGAGAAAGAAAGGAAATAAAAGAAAGAAGAGAAAGAAGGGAAATAAAAGAAAGAAGGAAAAGAAGAGAAAGAAAGGAAATAAAAAGAAAGAAGGAAAAAGAAGGAAAGAAGGAAATAAAAGAAAGAAGGAAAAGAAGGGAAAGAAGGGAAAAAAAGAAAGAAGGAAAAAAGAAGGAAAAAAAAAGAAAGAAGGAAAAGAAGAGAAAGAAGGGAAATAAAAGAAAGAAGAAAAAGAAGAAAAAGAAGGGAAATAAAAAGAAAGAAGGAAAAGAAGAGAAAGAAAGGAAAAAGAAAAGAAAGAAAAAAAAGAGAAAGAAAAGGGAAAGAAAAGAAAGAAGGAAAAGAAGAGAAAGAATGGAAATAAAAAAGAAAGAAGGAAAAGAAGAGAAAGAAGGAAATAAAAGAAAGAAGAAAAAGAAGAGAAAGAAGGAAATAAAAAGAAAGAAGGAAAAAAAGAGAAAGAAAGGAAAAGAAAAGAAAGAAGGAAAAGAAGAGAAAGAAAGGAAAAAAAAGAAAGAAGAAAAGAAGAAGGAAAAGAAGGGAAATAAAAGAAAGAAGGAAAAGAAGAGAAAGAAGGGAAATAAAAGAAAGAAGGAAAAGAAGAGAAAGAAGGGAAATAAAAGAAAGAAGGAAAAGAAGAGAAAGAAGGGAAATAAAAGAAAGAAGGAAAAGAAGAGAAAGAAGGGAAAGAAAAAAAGAAGGAAAAGAAAGAAAAAAAGAAGGAAAAGAAGAAAGGAAAATAAAAGAAAGAAGGAAAAGAAGAGAAAGAAAAAAAAAGAAAGAAGAGAAAAGAAGGGAAATAAAAAGAAAGAAGGAAAAGAAGAGAAAGAAAAGGAAATAAAAAAAGAAAAAAGAAGAGAAAAGAAGGGAAATAAAAAAGAAAGAAGGAAAAAAAGAAAGAGAAAAAGAAGAAAGGAAATAAAAGAAAGAAGGAAAGAAGAAAAAGAAGGAAAAGAAGGGAAATAAAAGAAAGAAGGAAAAAGAAGAAAATAAAAGAAAGAAGGAAAAAGAGAAAGAAATAAAAGAAAGAAGGAAAAAAAGAAGAGAAAGAAGGGAAATAAAAGAAAGAAGGAAAAGAAGAGAAAGAAGGAAATAAAAGAAAGAAGGAAAAGAAGAGAAAGAAGGGAAATAAAAAAAGGAAAAGAAGAAAAGAAGAAATAAAAGAAAGGGAAAAAAAAAAAGAAGGAAAATAAAAGAAAGAAAAAAGAAGAGAAAGAAGGAAAAAAAAGAAAGAAGGAAAAGAAGAGAAAGAAGGGAAATAAAAGAAAGAAGGAAAAGAAGAGAAAGAAAGGAAATAAAAGAAAGAAGGAAAAGAAGAGAAAGAAGGGAAATAAAAGAAAGAAGGAAAAGAAGAGAAAGAATGGAAATAAAAGAAAGGAGGAAAAGAAGAGAAAGAAGGGAAATAAAAGAAAGAAGAAAAAGAAGAGAAAGAAGGGAAATAAAAGAAAGAAGGAAAAGAAGAGAAAGAAGGGAAATAAAAGAAAGAAGGAAAAGAAGAGAAAGAAAGGAAATAAAAGAAAAAACGAAAGAAAAAAGAAGATAAAAGAAGGAAAGAAAAAAAAAGAAGGAAAAAGAAGAGAAAGAATGGAAATAAAAGAAAGGAGGAAAAAAGAGAAAGAAGGGAAATAAAAAGAAAAGAAGGGAAATAAAAAGAAAGAAAGAAAAAAGAAGAGAAAGAAGGGAAAAAAAGAAAGAAGGAAAAGAAGAGAAAGAAGGAAATAAAAGAAAGAAGGAAAAGAAGAAAAGAAAGGAAATAAAAAAAGAAAGAAAAGAAAAAAAATAAAGAAAGAAGGAAAAAAAGAAAGAAGGAAAAGAAGAAAAGAAAGAATGGAAATAAAAGAAAGGAAGGAAAAGAAGAGAAAGAAATAAAATAAAAGAAAGAAGAAAAAGAAAAGAAAGAAATAAAAAAAGAAAGAAAGAAGGAAATAAAAGAAGAGAAAAAGGAAATAAAAGAAAGAAGGAAAAGAAGAGAAAGAAAGGAAATAAAAGAAAGAAGGAAGAGAAGAGAAAGAATGGAAATAAAAGAAAGAAAGAAAATAAGAGAAAGAAAAATAAAAGAAAGAAGGAAAATAAGAGAAAGAATGGAAATAAAAGAAAGAAGGAAAAGAAGAGAAAGAAAATAAAGAAAAAAGAAAAGAAGGAAAAGAAAAAACAAAAAGAAGGAAAAAAAAGAAAGAAGGAAAAGAAGAGAAAAGAAGGGAAATAAAAAGAAAGAAGGAAAAGAAGAGAAAGAAGGAAATAAAAAGAAAGAAGGAAAAGAAGAGAAAGAATGAAAATAAAAAGAAAAAAGAAGGAAAAGAAAATAAAAGAAAGAAGGAAAAGAAGAGAAAGAAAGAAGGAAAAGAAAAGAAAGAAAAGAAATAAATAAGGAAAAAAAGGGAAAAAGAAGGAAAAAAAAGAAAGAAGGAAAGAAAAGAAAGAAGGAAAAGAAGAGAAAAAAAGGAAATAAAAAGAAAGAAGGAAAAGAAGGGAAATAAAAGAAAGAAGGAAAAGAAGAGAAAGAAAGGAAATAAAAGAAAGAAGAGAAAATAAAGAAAGGAAATAAAAGAAAGAAAGAAGGAAAAGAAGGGAAAGAAAGGAAAATAAAAGAAAGAAGGAAAAGAAGAAGGGAAAAAAAAAGAAAGAAGGAAAGAAAAATAAAAGAAAGGAAAAGAAAAAGAAAAATAAAAGAAAGAAGGAAAAAGAAGAAAAAAGGAAATAAAAGAAAGAAGGAAAAGAAGGAAAGAAAGGAAATAAAAGAAAGAAGAGAAAAGAAGGGAAATAAAAGAAAGAAGGAAAAGAAGGGAAAGAAATAAAAGAAAAAGAAAGAAGAAAAAAAGAAAGAAAAGAAAAAAAGAAAGAAAAGAAGTCTAAGAAAAAAAAAAAAAAGGGAAATAAAAGAAAGAAGGAAAAGAAGGAAAAGAAAAATAAAAGAAAGAAAAAAAAGAAAGGGGAAAGTAAAAGAAAGAAGAATGGAAATAAAAGAAAGAAGGAAAAGAAGAGAAAAAAAGAAAGGAAATAAAAAAAAAAGAAGGAAAAGAAGAAGAAAAAGAAAAAATAAAAGAAAGAAGGAAAAGAAGGAAATAAAAGAAAAAAAGAAAAAGAAGAGAAAGAAAGGAAATAAAAGAAAGAAGGAAAAGAAGGGAAATAAAAATAAAGAAGGAAAAGAAGGAAATAAAAGAAAAGGAAAAGAAAAGAAAGAAAAGAAAAGAAAGAAAGAAGGAAATAAAAAAAAAGAAAGAAGGAAAAGAAGAAAGAAAGGAAATAAAAGAAAGAAGGAAAAGAAGGAAAAATAAAAAAGAAGGAAAAGAAATAAAAATAAAAAGAAAGAAGGAAAAGAAGGGAAATAAAAGAAAGAAGGAAAAGAAGGAGAAAGGAAAAAGAAGAGAAAAAGGGAAATAAAAAAAAAAGAAAGAAGGAAAAGAAGAGAAAGAAGGGAAATAAAAGAAAGAAGGAAAAGAAGAAAAGAAGGAAATAAAAGAAAGAAGGAAATAAAAAAAAGAAAGAAGGAAAAGAAGAGAAAAAAGGAAATAAAAAAGAAAGAAGAAGAAAAAAGAAGAAGGAAAGAATGGAAATAAAGAAAAAAGAAGGAAAAGAAGAGAAAAGAATGGAAAGAAAAGAAAGAAGGAAAAAAAGAGAAAGAATGGAAATAAAAGAAAGAAAGAAAAGAAGAGAAAAGAAAAAGAAGAGAAAGAAAGAAATAAAAGAAAGAAGAAAAGAAGGGAAATAAAAGAAAGAAGGAAAAGAAGAGAAAAAGAAAGGAAATAAAAGAAAGAAGGAAAAGAAGAAAAGAAAGAAGGGAAATAAAAGAAAGAAAGAAAAGAAAAAAAGAGAAAGAAAGGAAAAAAAGAAAGAAGGAAAGAAGAAAAGAAAAGAAAGAAGAAATAAAAATAAAAAGAAAAAAGAAAAGAAGAAAAGAAAAGGAAATAAAAGAAAAGAAGGAAAAGAAGAGAAAAAAGGAAATAAAAGAAAGAAGGAAAAGAAGAGAAAGAAAAAGAAAAAAAAAAGAAAGGAAAAAAAAAGAAAGAAGAGAAAGAATGGAAATAAAAGAAAGAAGGAAAAGAAGAGAAAGAAGGGAAATAAAAGAAAGAAGGAAAAGAAGAGAAAGAAGGGAAATAAAAGAAAGAAGGAAAAGAAGGAAAAAAGAAAAAAAAAAGAAGAAAAGAATGGAAATAAAAGAAAAGAAGAAAAAAAAATAAAAGAAAAAGAAAAAGGAAATAAAAGAAAGAAGGAAAAAAGAGAAAGAAAGAAGGAAAAAGAAAAGAAGAAAGAAAGGAAATAAAAGAAAGAAGAGAAAGAAGGAAATAAAAGAAAGAAGGAAAAGAAGGGAAGGATAAAAGAAAGAAGAAAAAGAAGAGAAAGAAAGAAAGAAAAAAGAAAAAAGAAAAAGAAGGAAAAGAAGGAAATAAAAGAAAGAAGGAAAAAGAAGAGAAAGAAAAGGAAATAAAAAAAGAAAAGAAAGAGAAAAAGAATGGGAAATAAAAGAAAGAAGGAAAAGAAGGGAAATAAAAGAAAGAAGAAAAAGAAGAGAAAGAAAGGAAATAAAAGAAAGAAGGAAAAGAAGGGAAATAAAAGAAAGAAGGAAAAGAAGAGAAAGAAAGGAAATAAAAGAAAGAAGAGAAAGAAGGGAAATAAAAGAAAGAAGGAAAAGAAGAGAAAGAAAGGAAATAAAAGAAAGAAGGAAAAGAAGGGAAAGAAGGGAAATAAAAGAAAGAAGGAAAAGAAGGGAAATAAAAGAAAAAAGAAGAAAAAGAAAGGAAAAAGAAATAAAAGAAAGAAAGGAAATAAAAAAGAAGAAAGAAGGAAAAAGAAGGAAAAGAAAATAAAAGAAAGAAGGAAAAGAAGAGAAAAGAAAGGAAATAAAAAAAGAAGAAGGAAGAAGGGAAATAAAAAGAAAGAAGGAAAAAAAAGAGAAAGAGAAAAGAAGGAAATAAAAGAAAGAAGGAAAAGAAGGGAAAGAAAAGGAAAAAAAAGAAAGAAGGAAAAAGAAGGGAAAAGAAAAGAAAGAAGGAAAAAAGAAGGAAGAGAAAGAAAGGGAAATAAAAGAAAGAAGGAAAAGAAGAGAAAGAATGGAAATAAAAGAAAGAAAAGAAAAGAAGAGAAAGAATGGAAATAAAAGAAAGAAGGAAAAAAGAAGAAAAGAAAGAAAAGAAATAAAAAAGAAAGAAAAGAAAAGAAGAGAAAAGAAGGAAATAAAAAAAAAAGAAGGAAAAGAAGAGAAAGAAAAGGGAAAAAAAGAAAAAGAAGGAAAAGAAGAGAAAGAAGGAAATAAAAAAAAAAGAAGGAAAAGAAGAGAAAGAATGGAAATAAAAGAAAGAAGGAAAAAGAAGGGAAATAAAAGAAAGAAGGAAAAGAAGGAAAAAAAAGGAAAAAAAAAGAAAGAAGGAAAAGAAGGGAAAGAAGGGAAATAAAAGAAAGAAGGAAAAGAAAAGAAAGAAGGAAAAGAAGAGAAAGAAGGGAAATAAAAGAAAGAAGGAAAAGAAGAGAAAGAATGGAAATAAAAGAAAGAAGGAAAAGAAGGGAAAGAAGGGAAATAAAAGAAAGAAGGAAAAGTAGGTAAATAAAAGAAAGAAGGAAAAGAAGAGAAAGAAGGGAAATAAAAGAAAGAAGGGAAATAAAAGAAAGAAGGAAAAGAAGAGAAAGAAAGAAAAAAAAAGAAAGAAGGAAAAAAAAAGAGAAAAGAATGGAAATAAATGAAAGAAGAAATAGAAAAGAAGAGAAAGAATGGAAATAAAAGAAAGAAGGAAAAGAAGAGAAAGAAGGAAAATAAAAGAAAGAAGGAAAAGAAGAAAGAATGGAAAGAAGGAAATAAAAGAAAGAAGGAAAAGAAGGGAAAAAAAAAAGAAAGAAGGAAAAGAAGAGAAAGAAAGGAAATAAAAGAAAGAAGGAAAAGAAGGGAAATAAAATAAAGAAGGGAAAGAAGAGAAAGAAGGGAAATAAAAGAAAGACGGAAAAGAAGAGAAAGAAGGGAAATAAAAGAAAGAAGGAAAAGAAGAGAAAGAAGGGAAATAAAAGAAAAAAGGAAAAGAAGGAAAGAAAAGGGAAATAAAAGAAAGAAAAAAGAAAAAAATAAAAAGAAAGAAGGGAAATAAAAGAAAGAAGGAAAAGAAGAGAAAGAAGGGAAATAAAAGAAAGAAGGAAAAGAAGAGAAAGAAGGAAATAAAAGAAAGAAGGAAAAGAAGAGAAAGAAGGGAAATAAAAGAAAGAAGGAAAAGAAGAGAAAGAATGGAAATAAAAGAAAGAAGGAAAAGAAGAGAAAGAAGGGAAATAAAAGAAAGAAGGAAAAGAAGAGAAAAAGGAATGGAAAAAAAAAGAAAAGAAGGAAAAAAGAGAAAGAATGGAAATAAAAAGAAAGAAGGAAAAGAAGAAAAAGAAGGAAATAAAAGAAAGAAGGAAAAGAAGAGAAAGAAGGGAAATAAAAGAAAGAAAGAAAAGAAAGAAATAAAAGAAAAAAGAAAAAAAGAAAGAAGGAAAAAAGAAGGAAAGAAAAGAAAAAGAAGGAAAAGAAGAGAAAGAAAGGGAAAAAAAAGAAAGAAGGAAAAGAATGGAAAGAAGGAAAAAAAAGAAAGAAGGAAAAGAAGAGAAAAAAGGAAATAAAAGAAAGAAGGAAAAGAAGAGAAAGAAAAGAAGAGAAAAAGGAAATAAAAGAGAAGGAAAAGAAGGAAAAAGAAAAAAGAAAGAAGGGAAATAAAAGAAAAAGGAAAAGAAGAGAAAGAAAGGAAATAAAAGAAAGAAGGAAAAGAAGAGAAACAATGGAAATAAAAGAAAGAAGGAAAAGAAGACAAAGAAGGGAAATAAAAGAAAGAAGGAAAAGAAAAGAAAGAAGGGAAATAAAAGAAAGAAGGAAAAGAAGAAAAAGAATGGAAATAAAAGAAAGAAGGAAAAGAAGGGAAATAAAAGAAAGAAGGAAAAGAAGGGAAATAAAAGAAAGAAGGAAAATAAGAGAAAGAATGGAAATAAAAGAAAGAAGGAAAAGAAGAGAAAGAATGGAAATAAAAGAAAGAAGGAAAAGAAGAGAAAGAATGGAAATAAAAGAAAGAAGGAAAAGAAGGGAAATAAAAGAAAGAAGGAAAAGAAGAGAAAGAAAGGAAATAAAAGAAAGAAGGAAAAAGAAAAATAAAAGAAAGAAGGAAAAGAAGAGAAAGAAGGGAAATAAAAGAAAGAAGGAAAAGAAGAGAAAGAAGTGAAATAAAAGAAAGAAGGAAAAGAAGAGAAAGAAGGGAAATAAAAGAAAGAAGGAAAAGAAGGGAAAGAAGGAAATAAAAGAAAGAAGGAAATGAAAAGAAAGAAGGGAAATAAAAGAAAGACGGAAAAGAAGCGAAAGAAGGGAAATAAAAGAAAGAAGGAAAAGAAAGAATGAAGGGAAATAAAAGAAAGAAGGAAAAGAAGAGAAAAAAGGGAAATAAAAGAAAGAAGGAAAAGAAAGAGATCATGCTTGAATTGTAGACAGTGGATGAAAACAACAATACATGGATATAAGGAAAAAGTAGAAAAGAAAATAAGAAGAATAATAAGAGCGAGAAAAATAAGCGAATATTGAGAGTATGATAATTATGGGATGGCAAAAGATGTGATGTTGGTGACAATGAAGAAAAATATGAACAAAACATACAAGCAAAGAAATTTGATTTGTCAAAGAGAACAAAGAATGAAGTCAGAAAGAAATAAGTACGATGCGCACTGAAGTGCATAAAAAGTGGAAATGAATGAAGAATATTAATAAAGAAAAAGCGAGTGGTAAAAGGATAAAAGAAAGATTTTCTATTTCAGAAATTAGGGGGAAAGGTAGAGAAATGGAATAAAAGGAAGAAAGAAACATATGTTGCTTTAAATAAAACACAATACTTTTATTAGCATAATACAGATATAATTCAGATATTTTTTTTAAAATGCCATATCTCTTCAGGACGTAGGCGACCACGGCTCTCCACATATTCATTTTCTTTATCATTTGTGAATTGCTATAACTTCTTAATTAGCCGGGAGGCAAGGGTTCGTTGCCTTCTACACGGTTTTGATTTTAGAATTTTTGTCAGATTGGTTTCCATCTAAAGCTAGAAGTCCGGATTAAGACAGATTTAGGCCTCTTCTAATATCATTTGTGTAAAAGTGAACGCAACGAACTAGGCCGGAATTTGAACTCGGCTCGTCGATTTCACTTTCAACTTGGATAACCCTTACAGTACCCGCACATCCACATATTCAGATATATGAAGGGAAATTCGCATTCAAGGCTGAAATTTACGTTCAGAGGTTGATAACTAAAATAAGTCATGCAAACCATTATTAGTGCAAGACAAATGTAAGCTTTGTAAATATCAGCCATATGTAGATTCGCTTAAGTGTGCATGGCTGATATCTTAAAATGCAACTAGTTGATCGAAAGATTACTTATTACTAATTAATTACTGTTGTATTATATAAGAAAATATGGTTGCTAATTCAGACACTATTTGTTTTAGTTTCAACTTTCTTTTCATCTTTCACAAACTTTTATTTATAATATGAGGTGTGTATTGAAATGTTTTCCATCCGATCAAAAAGGCAATAATCTAAAGCCATGAAACATATAATGCTATTCCACATATTCACTCTAATATTAAAAAAAGTTGTTCAACCTTTTCTTGAGCTTAAAAATGCAACTAGTTGATCTAAAAGAATTTGATGTTTGGGCAGTGAAATACACTTCTGCTCCTGCTATCATCTCCGAATTATTTGAAAATTTCTTCTCGTTCAAATTCCTTTTAAATTTCGGAAATAGATAAAGAAATATTAGGTAACTAAGATGGATGGTTTAGACACGCAAATATCGAATTCTTCAAAAATTTCATCATACCAACCCAATAACCAAGTGAATATTCCTGAAAAAAAAAAAAAAAAATGAAGACATTTCAGCAGCTTCACCTTCTCAAGTTTTCTTTCAATTCTTCCTTTAATCAGCACAAATTAATGTAGTATTCTATATTAGCTTTTTGACCTGCTTAAAGATAGAGCTTTATCAAAACATCTGTATGTGGAGAAACCGTGGTTGATGTTTGGGTGTTTAATTTTTATCGGCCAAGGAGAATCCGAGTGAAACCACTGTATGGGCTGTTGTTTGGTCTCTGGGTCAAATTGACAACTACTTCCAAAATATTATCACAAGATCGATGAAAATACTGCAAACTTAAATTGGAAATTCACATTCAATATAGTTCTAGTGAGCACGCAGATATTTTGATAGACACGAGGCTATAAAAAATGCTTCTGAATTATAAACCCAACATATTTCCTAGAAATTTATTGTGTCTTAGGATTTCTTACCGAGTCTGCTCAGTCAAGCGTCAAGCTATGTTGAGTCATGAACATAATCAACAATTTCAGAAGTTGAGATATTTGGAGGCCTTCAAGACTGTGCTTCATCTTGAATCTGAAAATCCCTACGCTAGAAGTTAGCCCTTCACGTTAGATTATGATGGGTACTTGTCACCCAATGTTCACATCATCTATTCCTAGATTTCCTTTGGAGTTTTCTTCTACAGTAATTTCAAAATGCCACCCTTTTCATTGACATGGTTGAGTCAATGTTCTAAAACAAATTAAAAAAATATGTGCAAAGAACATGCAAATTTACACTGTACAATACAAAAGAGGACCTCTTTTTAGCTACAATGATAAAGTAAGATTTTTTCGAAGGAATTAGGCCGAGAATATTTCAGCACAGCTCATATTAATTTCCTAAACTATGTAGTTCGGTTACAAAATAGTTGGCATTCAGAAATACCCATTTTTTATTCATGTTTTATATTGTATTCGGTAGTTAGGTACTCTATGAAGAACTAATACTTCACTTGAAATGGTTTGACAAGACTAGATTATTAATTAATGTGCAATGGCAGACGTACAAATATATACGTTTATATGTCCCTGCTCACGAGAAATAAAAGGGGAACTGGCATTGTCTTGGCAGTTAGCCGACTGTTTTGCATATTAAATATTCTAACCATAATTTTTGTTGGACGAAATTTACTTTTTTTTTTAATTTTGCTTTACGCTGCTTTAAATTATGCATATTTTCAAGTGACTTGCTTTTAATAGAATTTAGATGACATTGAAGATGTTTTCATTTTTTATGGGTGCTGATAAGGTTATTAAATTACAATGATAATAGTAATCACCACTACCACAACAACATGAACGACAGCAGCAACAACAATTTTAAACAGCAAACCACATTGAAAAGAGATCAAGAAATGACGCAGGAATGGGAAATGATAAAGGCAAACACAGGAGGAGGCAGTATCTTATTAGTTCTTTAATATTTTGCTTCCTGTCACGAAAATTATCATCATTATGACCACCTCAATCTTTTAAACACGTCAACAACAGCAAAATAATAATAATAATAAGTCACTTATTGATATGGCAGTCCCTGCTGACTGCAATGTATCTTTGAAGATATTCAAAAAGTTGTCAAAATACAAGGACCTTGAAATAGAAATCTCGAAAATGTGGCATATGGGAACATCAACAATCCCTGTTGTAGTTGGGGCCCTAGGACTGGTTGGAAAAGATTGCAGTAGACTAATTGAAGGGATTCCTGGAAGTCCATGCTTCAAGGAGATACAAAAAATTGTTCTGACAAGTACAGCCCAGACTTTACGAAGGGCTTTATCTATGTAATTTTTTTTTGTCAGTGGAAAGTGTCATGATGCCATTTCTAACCTTAGGTCCCTGGGCGGGACCCGGAAAGAAATGTGTAAACGCCAGAAATCAAAGAAAATAATAATAATAATAATAATAATAATAATAATCTGAACTTCATCAGAGAAGGGAATTGTAGAAAATAATGGTGTTAATCTCATCAATCGTTATGAGGCAGAATCAAAACCATCCAGACTAAGGCTATACTGAGAACAAGAAGACGACCGAGGAAGGTATTGAGGAGACTTGCTGTTTTTTTCTATCTCAATTGTTTGGAGATACTAATCTGTATATATTTTGTCTTGGTGAATTAAGATGGGTTACAGTAAATATTCAGTTCAGTAACACAGATTTGCTAATCACTTGCCTGACCATAACCAGTTGGGCATGTCTAAGGGGTTAACACACTGTGTATCTCTGACCATGAGCAGGAGTATTCGGAAAGCGTAATGTTGAGAGGATTGTTTTAACTTTGAAGGCTGAGGTAGCTGAGGTAACTTGTGAGTCGCATCTACATATCATCAACTGAAGACCATCTTAGCAGATTTAAGTACCCGACCTGAATGCATTTCTATTTAGGCCTTACCTGCAATACCCGATACCACAACGCGCCCATTTACCTGTAGTGCATGTTCTTAACATACACTTATGAGATTGACCGTCATGATGGGCTTCGTATATTTGTACATCAGTGTCACTTTATTATTGGCGTTATGCGTTCTCACTTAATAATAATAATAATAATGATAAATTGTTTCATGATTATGATCATTATACTTTTCCGTTTCTGTGGTTTTAATTTAATATTTTATTAGAAGAAAGGACAATAAAAGAACAGGATTCAGGAAAACAAGATAGCGATTGATATTTCAATTTGATAGTTCAATTTTTTTTTTAAAGTGGGTAGCAGGGAATCGAGCAATCCGAAGAGAGTTCCGCAGGTGAGAAGTGCGCGAAAAGAAGCTATCAGAATAGAACTTACGGTTGCATCTAGCTATTTCAACAGTAAAACCATAAGACATAGTTGTCAGTCGTTTAGTAGAACACTTAAATTCATGCAGTTGAGAAACCAAGGAGCAGAGTTTATTAGAATAACTGCCATGAAAATATTTATAAATAAGTTTTATTCGTTTAATATAAGCTCACCATTATCTTTAATGTTTAGCGATTTCATCTCAATCATAATCCTTTTCTGTTTTGATTATCTTTAACTGGAGCACCAGAAAAAAACAGCCTAAATTTGGGAATAGCTAAATACATGTTAAAAGTTTAGTATTCGAACTTTTGTTAGCATTGAATAATTATATAAAATTTCATCATCCACAGTAAGAATAAGAAAGGGCGCGTAGTGGAATTAATCTGTTTTTTAGATTGTTATTTTTATGATGTGTTAATGTGTATTCATTGGTATTCACAAGTCTACAAATATGGCGTTGATATTTAGCCAGAGCCCACTCGCACATAATGTGACAAAAAGACTAATTTAAAGTGGGCGACTAATAGTGACTTACCGTAGCATAGATGTTACACGGCCGCATGTAAAGAGCACTTGGTAGTAGGGATCGATCTTATTACTCAGTCGTAATTGATCTATTGATCTAGAGATACATGCTTGTTAACCATTACACTACGTCGAAGTGCCCAAGTCGGCTAATAATATGACTTTGATTCATTGATTATCCCTGGTTCTCATGAAGGCATTTTATATTCTCCTTCGAATATGTAAATCAGGTAAATTCTCACATGCAATTACTTTATATCCCTACAGTTATATTACTTTGTATTTTCTATTCTTATTCTATGGAGAAGCTCAGAATGAGAAACAAAAATACTAGATCGACTACGTAACTATCAACAAGAGATTCAGGAATGCTGTTTTACATTGTAAAACATATCCAAGTGCCGACTGTGGAAACGATCACCTTCCAGTGATATGTAATCTTAGAGTGAAAATACGGAAACTGAAGAGGACTAAGGCTGTACCCAAATTGCAATACGAGGGAAAAAAGAAAATGGAAACTCGAAGTGCGACACTTTAAGAAAAACTTTAGTAACGTCAGCAATTGAGAACAATGAATGGATGACGAAATTCTCGACACGATGAAAAAGAGACAAAAGCAATGCCAAGACACGGAA